AAAAAACAGGGCCTCTGAAGCTGTTTTCATTGTGAATTTTTGCTTTAGCAAAACTAGCAGCAATGAAGGCCATAGCACCCCAAACCTAAGAATCCTGTGTGCACTATTCTTCACCCCTTACTTTAAATGAGGCTAGAAAGCAGTGGTTAAAAAAAGTATCCGAGTGCCCCACAACCACTGTTGGGGCTATGCACCAGTGAATTATACACAGGTGCTACCTCTGCCGGCATGAACAGCAATGGTACAGACTGCTGCTCTATTCAACTCGATATAGCCAAGGAATAGTTTGGAGGAGCAGATTTCTGTTTTATTGGATATTTATGCTGTGTCTTCCTAGTCCAATTCCAAGCCTCTCCTACAACAGAGCAGCTTCCTTTCATCCTTTCCTGTTCTACCCTCTCCCCCACCTCCCCTCCTGAACTCCTGTGCCTATCATTGGAGCTCTTCATTTTCTGTTGTCTTAATAGATCCTGTTTCACATCTTCAGCCAAGTAATTAGGAGTTCACCTGACCTACTGTTGATGATGGCCACTATTCTGGTCTGCAATAATGCATGCAGTGGAGAGAAAGAGGCATTGCCCTGCAACAAAGCAAGTCATAGATGGTGCACTGTGTCTCTGATAACCTCTCTGTGTCTACTCCAACACCAAGAATGAAACGTTTCAAAATACATGACAGTCACAGACAAAGGAGCTCCCATCCGAGAACTGATCACACCTCTGCAGCTCCACTTTACAAAAGTCATTGTTTTGTATCTGACAGGAAAAATGTGAATGAAATGAAAACTCCTCCAATCATTGTCAACCAAACTTTTTTTTCAGTGGTCCTATGGGACACTTTAGAAGTAAACAGTGTAGCAAAAACCCCAGTTTTTCTTTTTTTTATTTATTTTAAAATGCATTCCCTCCCCTTCACCAACCATTTCTGACTTTTTCTCTCCCTCTCTATTCCCTATAGATAAGTATGAGTAAGCTAAGATGTAGGATAAGCTTTAACATTTTATTTTAGATAGTAAGTTTTATTTTTCTCTCCCCTCTTTGCAAATAAGTGCCCTACTATTTTGATATAGATATCCATTGTTTTATAAGTGATAATTATTATGTTTTGTATTGATTTTTTTTTTTACTGCTCTTATATTGTGTGATTATCTTTTTAGGCCTGTATATGTAAGTTAGCATAAGTCATGTAAATTTTCCATCT